TTTTTTTTTTAATGGAAGCGGAAGTAAACAAAGGCACAATTTGGTCGAAAATACCAAATTTGGATTGAGCAAACCGGATAATTTATTTTGACAACCAGAACAATATGTGCATTATATCACCTGTTCTAAGCATCCCCCGCTCATCAATTCCACGTAGGCGTTCAATTGAGTCCTTCCATCTCAGTGACAAGTCCTTTCATTGATCATTTACGGTCCGATGAAGTGCCAATCTCCAGCTTTTTGTGTCGATCTTATCTCCCACTCTAGCCTTTTTTTACTCGTAACGCCGCAGTAATTTCTTAAAAAGTATCAGTTATTGATGCGCTGCATCTGATTATAGAGTGAACATGCGATACAAGCAATCCACACAAATTCGTGATAGTCTATATCGCTTATGGTCATACATTCTGGGCACTCTGGCAACAGGAACGAAAAACTGGAGGCTTGTGATCGGGCGCGTTGGAAGGATTGGTCATGGCGAGTTCAAATGTGAGTCCTTTTTCAATTTAAATAATTTTTTTTGTCATTTGTTTCGTTCAATGATTGCTGCAAAACGGCAAGAGGCTAGGAAAGTAGGAGCAAGAAATTTCGAAGAAATTAGCGAAAATGTTTGTTTCTTGTTATTTGCACAGATGTTGTTGGAATGGCACTAAAAGCTCACTGTTTGTTAGAAAAAATTTTTCTAATTCCAAATTTTATCCTCGAACTGTTTTGATCAGCTGCCGTTTCACTGTTTTGTCTTCGCATTTTGACCAAATTTTCATTTTTCAGCGGTCTATTAATGTTGGGTACGGCTATTTTATTTTTTTAAGTTTTTGTATTCTGGAAAAAAGGGCTGTCGTATTGTCGCAGTCATTTTTTTATTTTTTTATTTTTTGATGAAAAGTGATGCTGAGAAGAATAACTGCTTTCAGTTTGGACGCAGATTTTGAGTAAATCGTATCTAAAGCAAGTTGGAACACGTATGAAACATGCATGTCGAGCATGCCACGTGATGCCAGGAACTTCGGTATTTATTTGAAATGTTTTTAAAATTTTTATTTACCTGATAATTTTTAGTGATATCAGAAAATAGTACCATTTATAGCACTTCACCTCAGATATATCGCACTGGTTGTTTTGTTTTGCTACAGGAAACTCCGGGGCTGTTGTCGGCTTGTTTGGTGAGTCTGGAGCCTGAAGCGCATCTTCGTGTCTTCCCATCATCATTCCAACACGACGAGCGATTTCTGAAAAATGCCCGATATCGTACGTTGACAACACCGGATGATGTTAGCTGCACACATATTCTGGTCTTCCCGACAAGTCCTGAACTAAATGTTTGTTGCTCAGTTGATATTATTTCAAATTTCTGCATTCGATTAGTTTAATTAAGCTGTAAGGTCATTTATTAACCTGGGCGGCTCTTTTAGTTAGTG